AATAAAACGGTTCAATGCATTAAGTTAGCAAAACGTGACAACACTGTAAACAAAAACTCAGGATCATTTCTGTTCTTAACAGACGACAGAACAAAATGGTACGATCACTGAATTTCTTGTTAAGGCTAAAGTTACAGAACTTGATTTAGCGTTGCCTTTACTTAATCAATATCGGTGGCTTAAGAATTACAGGAAAAAAATGTCAGACTAGAACCAAGAGATGAACCTCTCAAGGCAAAATATAGTTTAACGTTCGGTGTTGATTAAATAAAGTTAAGTTCCCACCTCTGGGCAAGTGAATTTTCGGAGTGGTGATTGAAAGACCTGAAACCATGTGACCGACGAACGAGAAGTGACGAGACCTCTGGCCAATTTCTTTAATTTATCTAAGCTATTCTTTCCTCTTCAATGTGAGAGAATAAAATCTTTAGCTCGATATGACTCAGATTAGATTACAAGTAAATTTTATGCTAATTCTCTTAGAGTAATTGTGGATAAGGCTTTCCTAAAACGATAGACGCAATAAAGAAAACATCGGATTGGAATAAATGGCTCTGGCTTATTGGCTGGAAGAAAAGTGAAGTTGTCTGACATCTGTAATTAACGAAGTTGGTTTTTATTGTTCTGGGGATATCTCATGAAAATCTCCTGGTTACGATGAATGTTTGAGGCAAGAAAGTGGTAAGCATCTTGTCTTGGTTTAAATAATGTATTCGTTATAAAACAACATTTGAAGATTTCACAAGCATCTGAAGACAAATATAGTTTTATCACCTAGTCGAGCAAATATTCCTTTTTTTTCAGTTACATTTCAAGTGAACTTTTACAAGGATAGATTAGGTGTTTCGGAAAATTCGCGGTTACAACTCCACCTAAACTGTTTTAGTTTTATTGATGTTACGTCTTTGCCTTTTATAGTGACGTTCTTTTCAAGCAAACTAAAGCAATCCGTTGTCGTAAAGAACCCGTCTCTCATATCACTCAACACGCTTCTGTTACTACCCTCAGCATTCTAAAGATTCTGGGGTTATTTGGCGAAAGGTTAAATAACGAAACTGATTGTAAATATCTCGATCGATGTTATTATTCACCCCATTTAAGATTATTTCGTAAAAATACAAAATTGTGGCACAAGGCCGAGGGAAAAATGGAGAGAGGCTAGTCTTCATTAGCTATCCTAGTCCTGTTTAATCAGAACCACGGCCCATTCATTCATTTCAATTTTTCCATTCACCACAAGGATTCATCCATCACCACTCATTCTTGCATATACCATAATACCGCATATTCGCAGGGGACCTACAGAACATCCCATAAATATTGACAAGGCGCTGTTTAACTTTGCCTGTCGGGAAATCCTTTTAGTGCGATTTGGCCTAAAATTTTCATATTGATAATGATAGAAAATTAAGAATTCAATATTTAAAAAAAAAATATTTTCTTTTGTCAGAAGTGCGCTATTATTGCTTATTATTGACTTATTACTTATAAGAGTATTTATAATTTTTGTTGAATTAAACATTGAATCAAAATACGGAAAAAAGTAATTCCTCTTGTTTTCAAGAACAGAAATTAAATTAATATTTATTTCTGTTAAAAACAGTAAATATAGCGCAAGGCCAAAAAAGGAGGAATGGAGAAAACTTATCATCAATTTTCCTTATCTTAAACTTAGCTAGACACAATCACTGACCCAAACAAACTATACGATATTCCTTGTACCAAAACACCATATTCTTACTTACCATTTCTACTACAACCACCATAATACCACAAAGTCTCTATGAAGTCCTAACTAGTCCCTATATGTACAATTTGTGCAAATATATAGAAAAGCTATTTAGTTCTCTCAGCTCAAAAATCTATGGCTAAGACATGTCACTTCCACGAATTCGAATCCTCCTCATTCCCTCCTTGTTAAACATTTATAAATATTATTCCACTCAGACATCTTTATGGCAAGAAGTGACACAGATTCCCGTGAGGTTGCTTCCCATAACCCTTCAATCTTGACACATTCGTTATCTTTCCAACTTATCATCATAATCCTAATTCTCTAATGCCTTCTCATATCACACACCATACACAGCAGTATATATTTTTCACTGTCTACCTTGAGTGGCTCTCGAGTTTTGTATTTCCTGAATATATTAGTATATTAGTTGTTGCTCTTTTCGTTACCAGCCTGATTGGGATTCTATCTGTAATTTTCTCCGTGACGCCCGTTGACTCCCAATTAAAATTGCACCACTTAGGTTTCTTCTTAGGTCAAAGTCGGCATGGATGCTCTCATCCCTTCTCGGAAATACTTGTTGAAACCTCAATCCTCTCCATGGAAAACACCAATATGCTCAGCCGCTATAGAGCATAGGAACCATTATTTTTGGCTAAATGTAATCAATGTTCCTGTTTGCCAAGAGAATAGCCTCTAATAACTTTCGCTCTCGAGATTACTGGTGTAAGTTCTCAATTCCCCAACTATTCAGTCAATATCAGGCGTTATCACCCTCTGTTGATGTTGTGCTGTCCTCCCTCTAGAGAGTCTATGTTAGACTCTTCCGCCTACTATACGATTAGAAGGACAGAAGGCTTCGGTGAACAGTGTTTAGATTGAACGCTAGGTCATTCGATACACTCTCACAAACCAAGTTTGCAGATATATCGTATAGTAAACAGTAAGTACAACAGAAGAGTATTACACGACTTGTGAGAGTGTATCGAATAAACTAGAACTCAATATTTAACAGCCCCACCCAGGAGGGTTGTATGTAGCACAAGGCCGAGTTTACCGTGGGTTCTCCGAGCCCGTAGGTCCAGACAAAAATAAACGGTTCAGGGCCTCTTTACCTCCCCAGACGAAACTTTGCCCTTCGACAAAGCCTCGTCCGGGTTCCTCTCTGCTCAAGGCAGAGAGTTCGACAGCTTAACAATCTATTCACTGTTCCCCAAAACCTTCTGTCCTACTAATCTTATAGTAGGCGGAAGAGTCTAACATAGACTCTTTATAAGGAGAACAACACAACAGTTCACAACACTGAATGCTTTGCCCGTAAATCCTCCTCAAACTCTATTCCTGACTCCCCAGTAATATCCTTCCCTCCTAGAATTGGGTCGCTGTTGAGTTATAAGCATAAGACCCTTTCCACGGGTTATGCTCTCATCACTCACTTAGATCCCCACAAAGCATAAGGACCCGATGGTAACCCTGTAAAAATCATTAAGAAATGTGCTATCGAACTGGCTCCTGTTCTTTTAAAACTGTGTAATAAATGCATCGCTGCCTCCTGATTTCCTGTCAGCAGGAAGTCATCATTTGACGTTCCAGTTTTTAAGAAATCAGCTCAGTCGTCCGACTTTTCAAACTATAGGCGTATTAGATTTCTACCCATTTTTTAGAAAACCCCTAGAGGCCGTAATCAATGTTGTGGTTCCTCATCTCTCATCTGACGGTTTTTTCTTAGACAAGCAATGTGGCTTTCGTTTCTTCAGGTCAACTGCTAATGTAGTGGCAATATTTGCGGAAAAAGTGTAACATGTTATAGATAAGGACGGTGAAGCCGGGCTATTGCACTGGATATCTCGAAAGCCTTTGACAGAGTCTTTCCTTTCAAATCGTGAAATGAGAACTGAACGCCTACTCGTCTGGATTCTTTCGTACTAACGTAGGTGTCTACCAGGGCTCCATCATTGGTCCTGCCCTATTTTAATTTTATTAATGACCTTCCTGGTGAAATCAGCCCTCAACTACGCCGACAACATTTTATTCCTACCTCGATATCAATCTGACAAGGTTAAAAGCGTAGACGATGACAAAACGATCTCCACTTTTTAACTGGGAAAAAAATATCTTAGTAATTTTAACGCCCCCCAAAACTAAACTACTAATTACTGAGGTACTAACAATGTTTCGTCTCTGGGGAAGAGGTTTTAGGGTAGTAAACATTTCATCATCCACAACGCCACGCAAACGCCGCTGAACACTATAGATGCTGCAAAATTAGGCTTGGGCATCTCCAGACCAGCTGTGATAGATAGATATACCCTATATAAATCGTATATATGTGTTTCACTTGAGATCTTATATAAACTTGACCTCAACATAAGGTTCCAGGTAAGAATCTTCTCTTAATATAGGAGTTGAGATATTTCTATAAGAGTATCTATCAATAATGCAGATTGTCCTTCGTATTAAAATTTAGTTGATGAATTCTTTGACAGTATTTTAATCAGGCTAGGCAATAAACCTACTAAGATGCAAGATGTTACTGAGTGTTAGAGAGCATGAGAAAGTACTATTAAGGAGAGAAAATAATAAAGTATAAGAATTAAGAAGGCAAAAAATAACGATTGACATTACGTTAAATGTTAGGAAGCTCAACGTTGACTTCAAAGGAAGTAGCTGGATTAGAGTTCCACATGCGAGAAGTCATAGAGAAGAAACTGTTGGCATAGAACCTACGGCTACATCTAGCAATTTCAATGTAAAATGCTGAAATATTGCCTCCAATCTAGTAACGGCTTCAAAACCTAAAGTGGAGATACCATAGGGAAAAATTCATCAAAATAATTACCATGAAATTGTTTATAGAAAAGGAAACGGAAGCTTCATTACGACGGTGAGAAAGTGACAGCAGACGAGATGCCATGTCAGGACCAATAATATTACAGATTCTTCTTTGGATTTTATCAAGAAATCATTAAATGTCTAAACTAAGGAATTAATAAATTTTAACGAAAAACCTTTTTAAATTTAATAAAAAAACAAAGCAATGTATATGTTATGGTAATTTACAGACACATGCATGGACTCTCCCGACTTTAAATAGGAGCAGGTACTGCCTTTTGGAGGTTGAAGTTTCCAGCAGTCAGCTATGAGATTCGGACCGAACATTCTTGCTTTAACCTTCTCATTTGCATATGTTGTGTTACTGTTTCTGTTAATATATTTGTTTAACTCAATTCTTCTCTTGTGTCTTTATTTCTGGCTCTAACGAAAACACAATAGATAGATAGAAAGAAAGGAAGTAAGAAAGAGAGAAAGAATCAGACTTAGATAGATAGATAGATAGATAGATAGATAGATAGATAGATAGATAGATAGGAACAGAGTGACATAAGAAGAGACTGCGATAGAGAGATAGTGTTATGGTAATTTACCCTGGCACTCATTAACTCTCCCAGCTATAAATAGGAGCAGGTACTGCCTTTTGGAGAAGGAGATTTTCAGCAGTCAGCTCTGAGAGTCCGATCGAACATTCCTGCTATAACAGTTTCGTTAGTATATGTTTGTATTACCGTTTCTGTTAATATATTTCTTTAACTTCCTTTCTTGTGTCTTTATTTCTGGCCCTAACAAGGCCACAACACTATTATCTATCTATCTATCTATCTATCTATCTATCTATCTATCTATCTATCTATCTATCTATCTGTTATGGTAATTTACCCACGCAGGCATAAACTCTCCCAGTTATAAATAGGAGCCAGTACTGCCTTATGGAGGGGGGAGTTTCCAGCAGTCAGCTCTGACAGTTGGACCGAACATTCTAGCTGTAACACTCTCGTTTGTATATGTTTGTATTACTGTTCCTGTTAATATATTTGTTTAACTTAATTCCTCTCTTGTGTCTTCATTTCTGGCCCTAACAAAGCCACAACAGTATAAATAATATAAAAAGAAAACTTTTTAAATCCACACAACTTTGTGTGAGATTGATATCCGCGCAAAAATATATCCGTTTACCTTCCAAACAGTAGAACTAAAACACACACACATAAAAAAAAAAGACATAGCTAACCCGATGGGCATGAGCTAATGAAGAATACGGTGGCCATTCACATCAGAATTGGTATGGAATTAGACATAACGTCATAGAAAGAAATACCGAATTATGAACGATGCGAACTTGGAGAATTTTTAGATAATATTTATAACTTTGCTGATTAGTGAGAATTTAGAGACTGGATGGAAAGAGACACGGATATCGGTTCCCCACCCCCCTTGCAATAATATGCGTCGAATGGATGAAGAACTTTGATCAATATTTCCTTTTCAGCAAATATCAATGGAGAAGCACGACCAATCGATAGTATAATGAGATAGGTAGACTTCTATTTTCGTTGCTTTCGTTATCTGCAGTAAAAATTGAATAAATCCTGAGAGAAGAGTCAGCAGGAAAGAAAGAAAAGTGCACAAAAAAGAATCAAATGTACAGATAGGCTCCCAGCTAGCGAGCGCACACGCACGTACACACACAAAGTTAGATGGACAGAGAGAAAAAAACACACTCACACACACACACACACACACACACACACACACACACACACACACACACACACATATATATATATATATATATATATATATATATATATATATATATATATAAAAAGAAGAGAAGAGAGGTGCCGCAAACGTTTTTGGTTGTAATGTGGATTTATTTAGAAAAATATTATGCTTTGTTTTACATAATTTTACTACGACACGTGTTTCTGGTCTCGCGACCGTCTTCAGGTAAAAGTGGAGATTTCTACATATTATTAAAAATAATATTATTAAAAATAAACACAAACAGAGAATGTCTCATATCGAGAATATCTCACATTGAACATGAAGAAAAATTAATTATGTTTATATGGACATTTGACTTTGTGTTGGTGTCAGGAACCCGCCCTCAAATTTTTAAAATTATTTTTGCATTTTACATTTAACATTGTGTATCGTATACTTTAAACTTAACTCGAAACCGAAGAATTTGCGGCCTATGTTTATATACAGTATTGTCCTTGTTTTAGTATGAGGAACTCTATCAAAATTTTGTAAAGGTACTTTTGATGGCCCCTGTATATGGAGATGTACATGTGCTTTGGAGAGAAGAAAATCTATTATTCAAATGCTGTTTTAAAAAGATTAAGCGACGGTAAAAGAAAAGAAATTCTTAAAGACGCCAACATCAATGGGAATATAATACAAAAATAACTTTATTATAAAGTTAAAATGAAGGGACACGAGACACTTTTGTGTAAGTCGGCCAGTAAAAAGACATTCTTTTCCAGATTGTATTCTAAGGTCATATCAGATTTATTTTCCTATTCAGTTCTTTTCAATTTCTCTCCTGAGTCAAACGCTCAGTATTTGGTCTTCAGATAAACTGTAAATTAACGAGACTAGTATGTTGGAGCGAAGCCAAACATGAACAAAAGTTCAAAACTATATAAAATATTTAAAAAAAATTGCTTACATGCACATATGTATACAAATAATATGCATATATGTATGTATGAATGTATATATATATATATATATATATATATATATATATATAAATATATATATATATATATATATACACAAACACATACATATATATATATATATATATATATATATATATATATATATATATATATATATATATATATATATATATATATATAACAAGTTGTCGTTATTTATTTTTTGTATACAATTTTTCATGCGATCTTTTTTTTTTCGGATGATAAATTATATAAAAACTGTGCGAATGTTCTTTTTATCCGAGGGCTTTGGCTATACCTTATATCTTTAGCCATTTTCAAATATTTAATTATTTTAACTGTTAAATTGTTTGTTGTGTGTATGTTTTATAAAATGTTTACATTTTTCAAAACGCGGTCAAGATATTGTGTCTATGTTCAAAGTTAATATTATTAAATGTTTTTTTTTTTTTTTTTTTGCTTTTATTAATAAGCCTTCCATTATTTTTAGCCTCTTTTTTTGCATGTGGATGATGCTATTATATTAATGTTGTTGACAAGTATGTTACGAATAGTGTCCGGTAGGTCTTCATGAATATTTAAATGAGATCTAACTGAGCTATGGTCAGAAAGGTGTAGAGTGAGTCTGCGTGTCAAACGTGTTTTAGTGTGGCCTATATAATTATTTACGAATTTGATTGATCAGGAATACAAATCCTTAATGGAATATATATATATATATATATATATATATATATATATATATATATATATATATTTATGTATTTATGCAGCAATCCTTCTTTCAAGCACATTTCATTGAGTACGACAGACAAGGTGCTTTTATTTAGTTTTTACACAATTTCTCGATCTAATAATATATATATATATATATATATATATATATATATATATATATATATATATATATATGTATATATATATGTATGTATATATATATATATATATATATATATATATATATATATATATATATATATATATATATATATATATATGTATATATATATATATGTATATATATATATATATATATATATATATATATATATATATATATATATATATATATATATATATATACATATATAAATACGTATATATATATATATATATATATATATATATATATATATATATATATATAGTTCAAATCTGGCTATAATTATGGCGTGAGAAGTGTTTAACATCATTTTCCCGTATCGATAGAAAAGGTTGGTATATTTTAACATAATGAACGAATAAAACTTTATTTAAAATTTAAATAATCACTATTGACATAGCGTTAAATGCAATAGAGAAAATGATTAATTGTATCAATAATTGGAAACAAGAGAGCGTTTTCCTTACTAAAGATACCGTTGCCTAAACGGTGTGATGGCTAAATTGTCGTCTAAATGACGTGATAATCAAAATGACACTGATATCTTCTGGTAACAGATATATTTAGCAAAATTGCACAAAAATACCTTGAGGTAGTAAAGAGTAAAACTATTCAATAAAATCGCTATTAGCTTCAACCACGACCTCCAAACGATTCGGAATATCTTGTGGTCTCCTTGTTTACGTTGGTCAATGCTGCCATAATCATTGCCTTAGGTTCATCTTTCGTGTTACAAGGAGTTCTGTTGGTATCTCGCTCACCTGCGTGCCACACATAATGCAAAGTGTTTGCTGTCTGTTAGGTGGCCATATGTAAGGGGTGATGTGGTCGCAGAAATTCTCTGACCGCCATGTCTGGGTTATCTTGGTTGTTCAGCATGATACAAAGTCCTGTTGCCATACTACCAGTACACACACTTGACTCAGGTCACCAATAGCTCCTCAGGGTACATGAAGTAGGTCTTTGTCTTGAGCCTGAGGCCATCTGGTAAGAAAGTGGTGATATAACGTCGTCATCACTAGTGCTTATTCCAATATATACTGTAATCACAATTAGACTCATCCAACTCTTTCAGAATCATCAGCCCTGTTCTCAAATTGACACCGAAACATTGTAAAATGTTCGTATTTAAGGTTAAGGTTCGAATGCTGAGAGGTAATCAGGACGTTTCTGAATTTCTGGTAAAGGGTCTTTTCTTTTTCTCACGGATGTTGCCCACAAAGTCAAAAACAAGCAACGTGCATGAAAAAAGGTCACATCCACTTACAATAATATATATATATATATATATATATATATATATATATATATATATATATATATATATATATATATCGTATTAGACGCAATCTTCAGGGCTGTTCAGTTTTAAATTTACAGTGTTCATTTTATATTCACACAGGCTCTATCTCTGATACTGAGCACTTTATCCCATAAATATAGCAAGCCTTAAGACTATATATATATATATATATATATATATATATATATATATATATATATATATATATATATATATACGTGTGTGATCCTGTTTCACTGTATCATGGCGCATCGGTATGGCTATGAATCTGATTGCTTCAAGCCGGGACCCAAACCCGACCGATTTGGCATCACTCAGTGATCCTACCACTAAGCTATCCGTAAGTATTATATATATATATATATATATATATATATATATATATATATATATATATATTATATATATATATATATATATATATATATATATATAACGTATTATATATATATATATATAATTATTTTTATAAAAAAATTATAACATAAGTATGTTATAAAATCACTACAAAAATAGCCATTTTGTTTCAACACACTCTGATGATGTTGAAAATAAAATAAATGGTTTTAAAAGTTTCAGATTAATTAACGATCCTACACTAGGGGGAAACATTGTAAAATTAACAATGATTGCCTTCAAATATTGCTTGAAATTTCATATGAACATTATTGAGACAGAATTGGAAATGTGTTCATCCATTCTGTTTCCATCTTGGAAATTATT